GTGTGTGTGTGAGTATAAGAGAGAGAGAGAGAGAGAGAGAGAGAGTCTGTGTGTGTGTGTGTGTGTGTCAGTGTCTGTGTGTGAATGTCTCTGTCTGTGTATGTGTGTGTGTGAAAAAAGGAGAAAGATATAGACAGAGTAGGGTCTATGGTGGGGGGTTGGAATTGAAAAAACCCGTTTGTGTACCAATGGGCGATAATCCACGTAATACGGGTAAGCACCAAGATGGTAATAGTATTTCCCCTTGGACGTCGCTTGCTCTTCATCATGATTTTTTTTTCATCGTTGAACAGTTTTTATGCGAACTAAAAAAAAAACCCAACGCTGTCTCCTACCAGCATGCACCCCTCCTATCTCATCCAAACATCTCCATGGACACAAAGAGACTGCTTATCACCTCAATATGCATACCAACTTTATGCTTTCAGTGCCAAACCTGGACATTAAGTAAAACCCATGAAAGCAAAATCACTGAATGCGAAATGAAATGTATCTGCAAAACCCTTAACATCACAAGACGAGATAGGTAGAGAAATGAAGAAGTAAGAGCAGCTATCTGCACTGAGTCCTGCCTGCATTACATAGAAAGACAGAGGACAAAATGTTTTGGCCACCTGCTTGTTACGTATGTCACCTGACCAGCCAGCCTTGAGAGCCTCTAAGCGTTCATGCTATAAAGGAAGAGGAAGGCCACGCAAAAGTGGATCGAGGGTGTCAAGGAAACCCTAAGAAAACATGATATCACTACTGAAAGAGTTGCGGAGGTGGCCTACCTCAGAAAACTACATCTCCCCTCGACGTTTTACGGCTACAGAGGATGAAAAAGTAAAAGTAAATAAGTAGAACAGTTTTGACCGTGCTCAGCGTATCGAAAACTTACAGGAAAAAAATGCAGAAGCCCTCAGACCAGGCTCTGGTGAATCACTTTTTAATGCACGTAACTATCATCTTGAACTCCTACTACCCAAAAACACGCTCACAGGATGTAATGGTGTGCTTGCTCGGAAGAGGTAAGGTTATATACAGGGAGACAGAGTAATGAGCAAATACACTGGTTGGAAAATAAGTAGGCTAAACAGTTGAAGGCAAACGATATCATGAAGCGGATATAATATGGCATGGGATGTTTTCTCCAGTGATTTTCCACTAGGCGTATTTTCCACACGCTCTTGCGAACTACTGTCAAGGGGAAGTAACTGTTTTTTCAACTGTCTTTGTCTATGTTTATACTGAGTTACTGCCCGTGGCTCGACGTTTGGATGCGAGTAAATATTATGTCGATCAATCTGAAAGGATGCAATGTTTTTCCTCATACCCGAACCAGAGAGTTTACAGTAACTGTAATACTGGTAGTACTGTAAAAGTCTCTGCATGAACCCTAAGGTGTAGTCTTTGCCTCCCTCTTACCGCCCGAACTTCTCTTCTTTATGAAGTCATCATGTACGTTGTCTGTTGTCTGGTGTTGAATCCTCCCCTCCCCC